GAATCATCCATGGCTAGTTACAGTGGTGCATGCCTGTAGTCTCATTATGTGGGAAGCTGAGGCAGGAAGATCATTGCAAGTTGAAGGTCAACCTGGGCTACATAGTGAGTTCAAGAATGACCTGTCTTACACAGCGAGACCTGGTCTCAAAAAAAAGAAAAAAAGAAATCACTCACTATATGAATGGTAGAGTTATTTATCCTAGTTCCTATAAAATATGAAATATCCACTATATGAATGGCAGAGTTATTTATGCCATTTCCTATAAAAAAGAATGAAATATAAAAATTTAGGTTTATGTAATAAAAAAAGGTTTTTCAATTTAAAATTTCATGTTGTCAAGACAGCACTGGGGATATGTGGAGTGAATGAAGAATTAGAATTTTACAAGACCCTGAACCTTTAAGTCTAAACACTGACCAAAACTTACGAACTATAGTAATCAATTTTCTCAAGTGATTTTATTGCACTAAAAAGAAGTGACTACAAGAGTGTGGTGCTTAATAACCCTACCAGGGCCAGGATTATAAAAGTGATTTGTTTTTCTAATTAGGATCATTGCCCATAGAATATAACATCAAGTGACAAAAGTTTAATTTTGGTAGGGGATTTTTTTCCCATTTTCAACAGTGGAATGTATCACTTATAATTATATACAAAGGCCAAAATGTAAAATTGAATCCAAAAAGTCATGTCTAAAAATATATTTTTGTTTCATGTGATGGATTGATCAATACTATATGTTTAAAGAAAGGTTGACGGTGAAAAATAGCTATCTATATATTGTATATATAATTTGATGCTCCCAGAGCTCTGAAGTTATACAATACAATTACTATGTATTGTATGTTAAAATACAGAACCTTGGGCCAGGGATTTAGCTCAGTGGTATAAGCACCTCTCTTGCAAGTACACAGTAGTGAGTTCAATCTCTGGTACCAAAAAATAAAATAAAATTAAATTAAATTAAATTAAATTAAGAAAAATAAAATAAAATACAGAACCTTGCTGAGTGTGATGTTGCACACTTGTAATCCAAGCATTGGGGAGGCTGAGGTAGGAGGATTGCTGTGAGTCTGAGACCAGTCTGGGCTACAAAGTGAGCTCAAGGCCAACATGGACTACATAAACCCTGTCTCAAAAAGATAAAAAAAAATTTGCTATATTGCATATTGTTATTCTCCTAGTAGATGCTCAGACAATCAGCTATAGAAAATATGAGGGATTTCTTTCTGTCTTGTTTTGAAATCCAATATTGTTCTCACTGTTTTGTTTTATCCTGATTTATTGTTTTGCTTCATTCAATGTCCTCTTTTGATTAGTTTTATTCTGTTTTGTTTTATTTGATTTTACTATGTCTGAGCATATGGACAACTATTGTGAAGATAGCAAGATATATTATGGTAGCCATTGTTTATTTCCTGTTATCCTGCTTCAAAATTCTGTACCACTTTCACTGCTTTGTTTTGGTTGGCTTTACTCTGTTTTGTTTAGTTAGGTTTTACTTTCTTTAAAATTTAGAAAAAAATCAGAATCTGAAAAATTAAATACTTTGCTTAAAGTGAAATAGGTACAGATTTTTAGGTCCAGGACTAAAATCCACATCTTGCTTTTTGTTTTGTTTTGGTTTGATTTGGGTGTTTGTTTGTTTGTTTTCCTACTGTTTTCTGCCATGTTGCCACAGAAGATAAAGAGAAGAGAAGCCTAGATGGGATCAGAGAAGAGGGAGATAAGAAGGATAAAGGAAGAAAAAAAGTGTATCTAAGGGACTTCTCCCAAGTGCTGCATTAAAATGTGGTGGTGTGCACCTACAATCCTAGTGTTTAGGAGGCTGAGGCAGGAGGATTACTTTAAATGAAGGCCAGCCTGAGCTGCACAGTGAGTTCAACTACTGAACTGTGAGCCTGAACTATACAGGCAGACCCTGTCTCAAAAAACAATGTTATTTATGTTTATTGCTCTGTACACTGTGATCAAAGAAATGTATCTTCTAGAATGTTGCTCTTGGAGAGACACAGCCTTATTATACAGCCCTGCGTAGTAAGGATTATTGCAATATTTTGAGGCAAAACATATAATTTCCAATAGCCAAATACTATCTTATAAAAACTTTAAATTCTAATCTAAAATTGAGATGCTAATATAGTCGTTCCTCTACTTCAACAATACAAATTCTTAGTTTTCGGTTTGGAAAGTGAAGAGTCACACATAACTTTAAAAAGATTTCTTTTTCATGAATGTCTGCCTATTATCCTGTCACTATAGATAAAGAGGCAGTTCAGCTGCGTCCTGGGGTCAAAAGGGGCCGCCCCTCCCCTTGTGAAATTAGAGATCACACAATTGAAATTTCTGAAATGATAGCAACTGAAGTAAAGAGACAACTCAGGGTTTGTATTGTTCGATTAACTTTGCATGCCTATATCTAGTAGTCTGAGCAACTACCTGGAAACTAACAATGCACAGTGTAGTAATTATTGTTGATTTCCTACTGCCTTGTTTTTAATATCCAAGGTCACTCTCGAATTGTTTTGGCTCATTTATTGGTTCTTTTTTTTTTTTTTTTTTTTTTTTTTTACTTTATTCTCTTTAAAATTAAAAAAAAAAGATAAGGCAAGGGAAGATTTTAGAAAACTCTGTTGCATTTTCATATCAATAGATACAAATAATATTACCTCACAATTGATACTGTAATGGCCCCTTTCTAAATTTGTAGGAAACTGCCAAAGTTTGTTATTAGTAGGTAGAGAAGGGATTACAAAGGAAAAGCAACACTGTTAAGAAAACAGCAACAGAAAGATTAGGGAAAAAAAAATTAAAAGGACCAGCAAGAAAGCATTCTACACTGGGTGTGGTGGTACACATGTTTAATTCCAGCACCCGGGAGCTGAGGCAACAGCATCTGTGAAAATTTGACACCAGCCTGGGCTATAGAGTGAGAGCCTGCCTCAAAACACAAAACTGCAACTGAAAATAAAGACAAAACAAAACAAAGAAAATACGCTATGAAGTGCTCTAACAGTACTATCTCATTTTATTTCTTCCTGAAATTTATTAAGTAAATGATTTTATCCATTTGCAAAATGAGGAAACTATATCTCAGGGAATATCTTTTAAAACAAAACAAAAGATCTTGCAGTGTTCTAAAGAGACACCACTAAAATGATGTCCTACCCTTGGTAATAGGGTGAACAGAGATGCAGTCAATGACAGATGAGTTTCCCTAAACTCAGAATGAGGCTTTTAAACACAACATGTTCACTGTCATACATGCTTACAAAGAGGAAACCATCTTGAGCTGTAAAACCAATGACTGACTACAAAAATGGGTCTTCTATGCTGTACCTTCAGCTTTTTTTTTTTTTAATTTTTTTTCTTTTTCCTTTTTTTTTTTAATCAGTACCAGGGATCGAACTCACGACTGCCTGCTTGCAAGGCAGGCTCTTATGCCACTGAGCTAAATCCCCAACCTTGTACCTTCAGCTTTTAGCCTGCTAATTGTGCTAATTGTCCTAAAGGACACATGCAAATTCGTATCACCATTTTAGCTTTAAGGTTTCCTAGGAAATGGGAAAAGTATTAATAGTCCCTATTTCAATATGGTCCCTGGAACTGCTTCTCTGATACCCAGAAGACAAAATAAAAACAAATGAAAAATAAACCCTTAAATTATAATTAAATTCTCAAATTTTGAGAGAAATGAGTTTAACTGACATTATTATTATTATTATTTTCTTTTTGTCTTGTTTGAGATAGGGTCTTGCCATGCAGTGCAGGCTGGCCTTGAGCTCATTTTGTAGCCCAGACTAGTCTTAAACTTGCAATGATCCTCCTGCCTCAGTCTCCCGGCCATACTGACACTATTGCTCATAAATTATAGTAATAATTCTAACCTGCATGTTATGAACATATATCTGAGTTTATTTCTATATTTTTTCAAAGATGTCCTTTGATTCACGCTGGGAAGGGTGACAATGAGATGAAAAGATGCATAATGAGGGACATTCTGAACCTAAAGTAGGAGGAGCCCACATTATGGGATCTAGATTGATGGAGAATCATATCAGAAAAATGTACACAAATTATATTCCACTTTGACTGCCTACAAATGCTGATACCTGTCCCAAGTACTAATATAAAATATTTCTACATTTGCTTTAAGCAAACTGAAGCCTTGTGGTTTATGTCTGTGTCCCCCAGGCCTCATGAGTTTAAATTGTGCATTTGTTATTCGTTCATTGTCTAGTGCTTGGATTGATGGTGTCAGTGCTCCACCCACATAGGGGTGGAGCCAGGATGTGATGTAATGGCAGGAAGAGGTGTGTCTTTCTCTTTGCTGGTTTGAGCTTGCTATTTGCAGCCACCATGAACTGCAGCCCAGCCATGCCTGCCTGTCTTGGAGCCAACTGAGTGTGGACTAAAAACCTCTCAAAACTGTAAGAAATAAACCTTTCCTTTCCCAACTTGGGCTTCAGGTATTTGGTCTCAGCAACGAGCATAAAGTAACTAAGACACCTTGCTACTTTTAGATGGTATCTAACTGAAATTATTTAATTTTTGTGAGTGAGCAAATACTATTTCATTTCTTGAGAGTCCCAAATCATACCCCAATCCACAAAAGAATGGTATACTACAAGGTGTGATGACATGGTGTCACAAAGAGAGAAACAATTAATGATTTGCGTAAATGTCTAAATAATAGTTGTTCATGCCATAATCTCTGAAGAGATCTTCAGACCTCTGACCTTTTGTTGAAAGGCATTTTCAGAGAATGCCTGGATTTCTAACATAACTGAGGATCAACCCAAAGCCTCTTTAGGAGAAGAACCAAAGAATGAAAAAGAATAAAAGTCAAAATGTCCATATGGTAGTTAAAGAACTGTTTTAAATTTGCTTACATATCTTTAAATAAAAAAGACAAAAAAAACTCACTCCCAAGAGTGGAGAGTTAGAGACCACCTGCCATTCCTAAGATTTCATAATTGATATATTTTTGAACTTACCTAGATATTTTGGATAGAAATAATCCTAGAAAGAAAGAAAAGAAAAAGATACATGTTACCAAACTTAATTTAATTCAAAAGATAAGACTTAATTTTGTAATGCTCTTCTAATAAAGATGGAAATAAATTATATGCCACATTTTCCCATTATCGTTTTTCCCACAATAAAGTATATCAAGAGGAAATAAGGAATATCAAACTTATAATATGTCTAGGCTTAGAGCATCATTAATCAATTAAATGATGTTTCAAAAACTTCTAATCTGAAAGTGGATTCTATGTAAGCAGATGGGGATAGGGTAGACAATGGCTGGGGATAGAAATAATAAACAATAACAAATATATTTTCTTTCTCTTCATTTTTCCCATTTCTGCCTAACACCCTCTTCCATCTCTTTCTCTTCTGTCAAAAGAAAGCAGTGTTAGAATTAGTGGAGGTAAAGAAATGCATTAAAGATTTTTCCTTCTCCAGGATCTTGCCCCCTCTCTCAGTCTTTTACCTACTTTCTTTTTGTTCCTTAGAGGCTAAACTCTAGAAGTTGGGTAAGGTAGTACATGCCTGTAACCCTAGCACTCTGGAAGACAGAGGCAGGAGGTCTCAAGTTTGAGCCCAACCTGGGCAACTCAGTTACTTAGCAAGGCCTTCTCATGAAGTTCAATTCTCACTACTACCTAAAAGAACTGAGATTAGATAATCCTGTTTCTATAGCTTGGCAAAAATTAAGTACAGAAAAATAAATAAATAGACAAAGTATACAAACATGTAAGATGTTTTAAAATTTTATTATTTTTTTTAATCTTTTGAGACAAGGTCTTGCCATGCAGTTCAGGCTGGCCAGTGCCCAGGGTGGTCTTAAACTTTCAACAATCCTCCTGCCTCAGCCTTCCAAGTACTGGGATTATAGGGCTGTGCCACCACACCCAACTTCACATGAGATATTATACTTGTGACTCTGGTTCTTCATCAGTACTACCATATTCTAGTTAGGAAAAAACATTTACAAACCACGAGTCAGTATTATTTGCTGATAATGAGGTATAAATGAATTATAGTTCCATCAGAGCACACTGGTATTGGCAACAGCAGCCTACTGATTAGCCTCTTGCAGAATGTGTTATACAATATTATTAAACTGGAGGAATACAAGCTAGACATGTTCAGTCTGTAACTGAATGTGTAGGTGTATGAACTTGATCGATTCCATGAATTCTTACCGTTTCAGGGTTGTTCTCAAAGACCTCCCTGGCTTCTTCTTTATTACACAATTCTTCAATGCATTCTCTTTCGAGATTACCCTCTTTGGTTTCTTCAAGCAAAGTATTTGCACGACGTTTCCGCACCAAGACTTGCGAAGCATGTTGCTTTGACAAAACTGAAGGAAAAAATAAGTTTTCATGAATAATTTTATTTTCCCTCCACAATATATTAAATAATAAGAATTTAAATATGCCTATGAGTTACATGACATTTAAAATCAGTACAGTGGAACTAAGTAAGATACAGATACAGAAGCATTTTGGTTAAAAACACAGCAACTTTTAGTGTGCAGCTACAGCACTTCTATAATTGTCCCAAATTATTCAGGTTCACACTTGAGTCCAAATGTGCCAGGGATATTCAGTGTTTAGCATATTATGGCTACAATGGAAAAACATCACACTGACATGCTATGTCAGAAGTCACTGGCATACCATTTTAAAAGCAAAAGTAAAAGCTTTCCCAAAGCCAACAGAAATAAGAGTCATAAACTTTTGGGATCTCTGTAGAAACAGAGAAAAATATGTACAGTATTTGAGAGGTAGCAAACAGGCTAAGATATTCAATTATTAATACAAATAAGAAGATTAAAAACTCAAGAAAAAAGACCATATTCCAAGCACAAAATATACAAGATAAGAAAACTGCAACTTTGACTGCATAAAAAATTTTAATAGTTAAACAACATTAACAAAAATAACAGTGAAGTTTAATACTAATCAAAGACTGGAAGACCTACATCAGCTAGAACCGAAAAATTACATCCAGAATTTAAAAGAAATTTCTAGAAATTAAAAAAGACATAAACTAACCAATAAAGGAATATATTCAAGGTTGTACACAAAATCACTCAAATGACACAACAGGTGCTGAGGATGTAGCTTGGTGACAGACTACTGTCTAGTATGCCAAGGCCCTAGGTTCAATCCCCAGCACCAAAAGCAAAATAAAACAAAATTATAAAATCAAAAATTAGAAACAAAAAGGAATAGGAAATTATACTATTTCTTTTCTCCAGTGTGACATAATAAGTGATTACCAAAAGGAAAGATGACAGTCTTATACTAAAGATTTCTAAGACGCGTTATTCGTGCAAATAAAAGAACTCTGTGTCCCAATATAATCCCATACTGATCATCCAAAGATGCAGATCTGTAAATATATGTCAACAAATACATAAAGAGTGTAAAAAGACATTCTAACTGCTAAGAGGAAATACATTTTAAGAATATAATGGATAGTTTGAAATTTTTGTTTCTTATGTTAGCATGTTGACTACAACACAGTTTTACTTTCTGGTAATTTTTTCTTTAAACAGGACCATGCTATGTAGTTCAAGTTGGTCTTGAATTCGATTGTTAGGCCAAACTTGGCCTCCTAAGTGGGATAACAGGCATGTGCCACAATGCCCAGCTGAACATAGCTTTTAATGAAAAATTTTAAAGGAATAAATAAATTTTGCAAATAATTTTCCTACAGACTTTATCACAAAAAAATTATATTATTTAATTACCTAGTTTTCCCTAAGCTATTAAGTAATACAATAGATAAATGTAGTTTCCTTTCATATTGTGGTAAATAATAATGTGTACTCAAAAATTGACCAAAAAAAGGAAAAGAGAACAAAAAAGAGTCACCCAGGGCCACCATACTATTGATTAAATAACTGAAAATATTATTTCTCTTACTAGCATAAAGAGAAATTTAAATGTGATGGGCTAAATAAACCATGTGGATTGTACTTATAAGCCCCACCTCTTACCATCAGCCATTTAAAAAAGACTACATCAAACTGTGTGTGTATAAAACACAGATGCAAACACGTTACCTGTCACATTTATTACTGACTGATAAATGGCAATTCTGTGGAAAGTAAAGGAGTCATATATATATATGATATATATATAATATATATATATATATGATAGAATAGCTATGGTACTAATCTCTATTAGTTCATTGAAAAGAAAGGTTTGTGATTACATTGATCAATTTCTCGAATGTCTTTATCTTGTAATCTGAGCAACTACCTTTAAATGATAATATGAAACATATTAACCATTGTTAATCTCAAAAAAAAGAAAGATTCAAAAGTCAAAGTAGTTTTTATTGAATATGTTAGTTTTGCAACATCAAGTCAACAAATTATAATTTGAACCATTGTGAATTAGGATCCACCTGTATATACAATCTTTTATTTTAGTGTTGTTTCTTTTGTGAACAGTTGCTCTTCAATATTTATTCGTTCTACATCAGCAGATTATATATCTGTGGATTTAACCAATCATAAATAAAAAATATTGAAGGAAAAAAACCTTAAAGTTGTTGCTGAATGTTCTGCGTGACTAGGTATATGTTGGTTGCTTCTGTAATGAATATATAGATCTTTTTGTTGTCATTATTTGCTAAGTGATAAAATTTACATACATAGCATTAACACTGAACTAGGCATTATAACTAATCTAGATATGATTTGAAGGATGGAGAAAAGTCAGTACAAAAGTTATATGTAAATATTTTGTCATTTTATATAAAGAACTTGAACACCTGTGGATTTTGGTATCCAAGAGGCTTCCAGGAATCGATCTTTCTATAGACACCCGGGAGTATTTCACTTGGCACTGAAAGAAGGAAAAATTGCCCCTGAAAGAATGTGTCTAAGAAGAAAATCTTGGCTAGCATTTAGATTGACAGTTTATTCATCTTTGTGCTTCAGTATTAGACAAGATGAGGGAAACGGCTTTCACTGTGCAAACAGAATAGCCACATAACAGTTGAGGCACAATTTCAGTTTTTGAAGTCACGTGTTTTCCTTAAATAAATGCTGTGGAAAATGAATTGCATTAGTATACATGAATATTTAGCTAGTTCAAGACTATACTGCCCTGAACACATTCCGTTTCTTCTGATCTAGGAAGTAAGCAGGGTCAAGCCTGGTTTGTATTTGGATGGAAGAAAAATATTTACCTAACAATGTGAAAACCAATATCAAATTTTTTTTTATTTTAAAATATCACAAATGAATTGTAAAATAAACTTTTTTTCATAAATATTTCTATCACAGATGATTTCTATCTGGCAAATAGAGCAAGTCTTTTAAAATGTTAAGGTTGCAACAATTAGGAAAAATCCAAAGAAAATTTAGGTAAGCATTCATCACCCTACATAATTATTACCAATTTTCAAAAAAGCTTGTGTTATCCTTCATAATGAAATGCACTGTTTATCTGTACATTGTGCTTCTATCTTCTTGTTTCCTCTTTTATTTTAAACAAAATCATTATACTTGGTTTTCCCTAAGTTTGAAGTTTTGTTTCATATTGAGGGTTACAAGGCTGAGCAACTGATTCTTGTCTTATTACTGTTAAAGGTTTGGAAAAGGTTTTTTTTTAAGGAAAAAAAAACCATTCTACAACAATAAACTATGGATAAATCCTCCAAAGGACTGAGTGATAAAGAAGCTGATGGAGAAATATGTAAGAGGGTCAGAGATGCTAAAATAAAGCTGGGCAAAGATATAAATCCAGGGCTAGGGATTTAGCTCAGCCTCACAAGCATGGTACCAAAAAAAAAAAAAGATAAAAATCTAGGGAGTAGATGTAAATTTTCTACAGCAGAAAAGGTGGAAAGTAATCTTGTGAATTACATGGTACTCATACAAAGGTGAGTTGGAAAATATTTAGATTAGAGGAGTGAGAGTAGGCATTTATTTAGAAGCACAAAGGCCATGGAAGCATTTTGAAAATGTGACCACTGACCCTGCAGGACAGATCAATGCATAAACAGAGAAACAATGCCTGAACCATGCAGACACAACAGGAGTAAAATGGACATCTACTTACTCCAGGATTTAATTATAGCTTTAGTTTATGGCCCTCATTCTAGAGAGTAAGAGGAGGGTGGGGAGGATCCTTCCGTCATTGTCGTAAGGTTAAAGACTTTGATATAGTCATATAAAGAGAAAGCGTCACACATTGAGTATTCTCTCCAAAATGACAAATACGTCTATTCAAAAGAAAGGACAGTCAGCTCCTTACCATCCCTCCAAATTATACTGGTCACTTGTTTTATTTGATTTATTTCTTCCTGGTGAGTGATAAATGAAAGTACTTCATTTGAAGGAACTCAGAGTTTAGAATTTGGCAAGATAAGAAAAAGACATTTTTTATAATCCTTTCTAGTCTTTTCTTGATTGCTAGGCTGCAAACTGGTTAGACTACATGAGGATACAACAGGTCTCTTTCATAACTCAGCAAAATTCAATGTCTTTGTGTGTGTATGTGTGTGTGTGTGTGTGTGTGTGTGTGTGTGTGTGTGTCTCAGCCTCCTACCTATTACAACACCAAACATCATTTGATTTTGAAGTAATGTACCACGAGGTTACCACTCAGGAAATGCTTTGTTTTCATTCTATTTGACCTATTTTGTTGGGATGACATTAATATTGTTAGTTCACTGGCCTGTGTCTGTTACTTATGCATGGAAAGGAAATAAACTGTTTTAAAAGGCAACAGTGAAAAGCCGGCCTCACTTACAAGAACCCACCTCTTGAAGCCTTTCTCACATCTCTGAAATAGGCAAGTATGGAGTGGGCTGAGATGCTAACGAAGAACACCTCAAAGGTACATTTCACAGCTAGAGTGCACAGTTACCATGTGTAAAGACCTGGATTCCATCACAAACTATTGAGAAAAAGATATTTTTAAATTCCAAGACTCAATAATGTCTCTTTTGATTCTTAGAATATTATTCATTTTTAAAGTGCTTACATATGCTGGGTGTGGTGGTCTGTAATCACAGCACTTGGGAGGCTGAGGCAGGAAGTTCCACAGGAGTTCAAGACCAGGCTGGGCTACAAGTGAGTTCAAGGCCAGATTTGGAATACTGGTATATTGACAAGTAAGTATTTACAAGTTAATATAAGCTGCTCAGAATTCACTGCTGGGCAGCCAACACCTTTTATGACACAGTCTATAAGTAAAAATGGAATAAAATGATAACTTAATGATACCTGACGTAAGGAGGTAGCAATGGGGTTGTCGCGCCACTCCCTACATCTCATCCCTTTTTATATTACTTAACCAGGAGTATGGCAGGCCCTGTGAGGACAGCGTC